ACGAGCCAATGATTATATACAATCTTAGACTTAAGCAGAAGCAGTTGCGAAAAATGCAAATATGGGTCCTTCGGCAGGAATCGAACCTGCGACCCTGTGATTCCAGTGCAGCGCTCTAACCAACCACACAGTACAGTTGTCAAGCTGTAACCACAAGTTCCTGCACATATAGAGTGAGTAATGCCAGGATAAGGTATGGGCAAATATCGGGATTTTGGCATCTCGCTGGATATGTCGGGATTCGCTTAACCCGGCAAATAACTCACGTTTGTTCAGTTTATAGTTTACTTTACTGCTGATACTATGTTCTCGTTTTTCACCTACCGTCCAAAATACATGTCAGCAACAATTAACTACCAAATATCAAACAAATTATTACTAAATATGCCAAACTCGCGACACTCTCCACCTATTTTATACTGTATGTATTAAATATGATCCTGTCCGTAATGTAAAACTTATTAACTAGAAGTTTATGAATAAATTTACTGTATCGTTCAAATGGTTAGTTCCTCTTGATTTGCAATCTCTTTTATCATATTCCTAGCGACTACGGCTGCCTTTCCAGAATTAAATTCTCTTGCTCTGGGATTAAGTTCAGTAACTTCCTCCGTCTTATGTGGTATATCAAATGATAACTCCATTGGACATAATTGCTGCACCGCTCTCCCAATAAATGACTTCCCAGCCCTTAATCTCACCGCACGTACAACACCGTCTCTTCCTTTAATCAGTTTCACTACCACCCCGATGTTCCATTTTCCTTGATTCCGCTCGTCCGATGTTATTAATACCACGTCTCCAGGTTTGATAGAGAGTTATTTGGTCTTATGGTTAAGGTTATGTCTCTCTCTCAAGCCTTTTACGTACTCTCCAGACCATCTGGACCACAATGCATCCTTGCAACGCCGTAGATATCTTGCTCTTTTTCTCAGATTACTGTCTTCGATCGATTCGATATCTTCCTCTGGCAATAGATTGGACTGTTCGAACATCATTGAATTTGGAGTTAAAACGGGTAACTGAATGTCATCCTCGACGTATGACAATGGGCGATTATTCAGTGCGATTTCGACATCGAGTATCACTTCTTCGAATTCGTTCCATGTTAATTTAGCACGTCCGCTCGACTTATACAATGCTCGTTTCACTAGCCCGACTAGTCTCTCGAATTGTCCTCCTCACCAGGGAGCTCTGCTTAAATTAAATTGCCATTTTATGTACTGGTGGGCGAGATAATTTTGAAGCTTCTCGTCTTTCATGATCGTTCTGAGCCACTTCGCTGCAGCTACAAAACCTTTGGCGTTGTCGGAATAGATCTTACTAGGTCTACCACGTCTAGCCACAAACCGCTTAAACTTCTGATGAATCCCAGTCAGTCGTTTGATCTTTTAAGAGCTCGAGATGGATGGCTTGGATAAGACTACATGCGAGCAACAGGATATGAGCTTTGCCGTTTTTCGTCGAACTAATCTTGTATTTCATTGGACCCGCATAGTCGACACCGATTACTTGGAAAGGAGTCGAACCAATGGTCCGGTCTGTTGGAAGATTTGCAGGTGGTGGACTGTGGAACGCAGTGGCACGGAATTTCTTGCACCCGAAGCAATTGTTGATAACTTCCTTTGTTAACTGCCTCAATCGTGGGATCCAATAGTTATGTCTAACCAAAGTCAGTGTAAGGCCAACTTCCCCGTGCAGAGTCACGATGTGGGCGTCTTCAACGATCTTCTTAGATAAACGTGCCGCAGGTGGTAAGTATAGAGGAAATTCTCCTGGAATGCGACCACGGCACTCGTATAACCCAGCTGAGTTCAGCTGTAAGTTAAGTTTAATTTGTCTTCTTGAAACTCGTCTGTACCGCTGGAGCTGTCTTTGACTTTCTTGATCCAGCACTCAACTTGTTGATTTATCTCTTTAGTTGTCAAAGGACCAGTAACTCTTGCTAGTTTCTTCAACTTACAGTTCGTTAAGAATCTTCTAATCCAAGACATGATACGGACTGCAGACCAAAAGCAATGTTTCGACAATAATTCTTCAAACTCATCATTTATCTCCACGGCAGCTGCGAATAATTCTCGGCTCAGTTTCGCTTCTTCTTCAGTTTCCTTGCTTGCCTTAGGAACAATTGACTCCGGCCACTGGTTGGGGGTGTGGTAACCACACTGGTCCGTTTAACCAAATCTTGGGGAGATTGCTTCTAAGACACCCTCTGCTTCCAACGTCTGCTGGATTCTGGTCAGTGGTTACATGTCTCCACGCGATGAACTCCTTCTCGTTTATCTTACACACTCTGTTAGCTACGAACTGTTTATAAGTTCCACCCCCTTTGATCCAATATAGGGCTACGCTGCTATCTAGCCATCCCGCAACAGACCTCACCAGTTGACAATCAAGGGCATTCTTTGTATTCTCTGCCAGGTTTGCCGCCATGTGGGCGGAAACAAGTTCTAGCCTCGGAATAGACAAGCCTTTCTTCGCTAAACGGGACTTCGCTGTCAGTAGGCCCTGGTTAATTCCCGACTCTTGGTGGACAACTGCATAAACTGCCGCCGACGTCCCAACTCCACTTGTGTCTCCGAACACATGTAGATCTATCGCTTTAGTCGGTTCTTGAATTGATGTGATACTTCTTGGTATCTCTACTCTACCAGGTAGGCTATTCTCGAATTTGCACCACTGATCTGCGACGCTTTCCGACACTTTCCAGGATCAAATGGATTGGTAAAACAAGTTTGCTATCTTTATCATCCATTACCACTCCCTCAAGGTGAGGATACTGGTTGACTTTTTCTGTATACCTTTGATTTGGAACTGACAAGAAAACTCTCTTATCCACTTTGTTGACTTCTGTTTCCATGGTAAATTTCCCAGTGATACTCGAAACATTCACATTATACACTTCGATCTTTTGTGTTGTTTAGCACATCATCATATCAATGCGTTTATGCTCAGTTCGAGTTGGTCGTTTTGAAAGCCGATCAATAAGAGCTACGGAAGCATACGAGCTTCCTGAACCTGTGTCAAGCAATGCTCTTATAGTAATGACGTCATGTCATTCACTGGGCACCAGGCTAGGACTGTACGGTCGGAACTAATTAAATATAGAAATAGGACACGTTGTGTAGAAGGAACACACACACACACTAAAACATCAATAAGAACTATATCGTTATGTTATACTAAATATATTCTATAGCACAAATATATACCTAGTAGTTAGATATTACATTGGCGACGAGGAGTAAATTTTATGGAACAACAACCTAACAATCTAACAACAGTCACCATGGCACATTCAGTACCTATTCGCCCAATGCCCAAGTTTAATCCCGACGCTGAACTTGGCGCGAGCGTCGCTACACGTTGGAAAAACTGGGTCAAAGACTTTGACATGTTTCTCCTGGCTAGTGGCGTTACAGATCCTAAACGACAACGAGCTTTGTTGCTATACCAAGCTGGCGCAAGAGTGCGCGAAATCTTTAAACCACTGCCTGACACTGGCGAAGACAAAGACTATGATATTGCCAAAGCGAAATTACTTGCCCATTTCGAACCGCAGAAAAACAGACGCTACGAGGTGTATCGATTTCGAAAGGCTGTGCAAGAACCAAGGGAAACTCTCGATCAGTTCCACACCCGGCTTCGAACTTTAGCCCAAACTTGCGAGTTCGCATCGCCAGATTTCGAACTCGAAGAACAAATAATTATTGGAGGGGCCTCTTCGAAAATCCGCAAACGTGCGTTGCGTGATCCAAGTTTTAATCTAGCTGCCATGCTCTTAGAAGGCCGCCGAGACGAACAGAGCACTTTCCAAGCTAAAGATATCGAATCGACATCGCCCGAAAGCGCAACGAGCACCTTTGACGAAATTGACGCTCTCTACAGACCGACGGGATGTCGCAATTGTGGTGAATCTTTTCCTCACAAAGGTCTTTGCCCCACGAAAGGCAAACAGTGTCGAAAGTGTGTCAAACTTAACCATTTTCAAAGCGTTTGTCGAAGCAGACCTATTGCACAACCAAGTGGCAGTATCGCACAGCAAGACTCCACTCAGAATTACCATAGCAACGCCACACGAAACCTGATACGACCCCTCGAGCATTACAACACCGGTGACTCAGACGACGATTATATCTACGGAATTCACAGCCTCGATAAAAGCTCTCGAGTTAACGTCACAGTGGGTGGCCATTCGTTTAGCACAATAGTTGACACAGGCGCAATTATAAATGTGATCGATGAACGCACATATAAGACTTTGCGCGGTATCTCTCTGCAAAAGACAACAACAAAAGCATTTGCGTACAACTCTACAACCCCGGTACCGTTCCTTGGGAAGTTTACAGCAACTGTCGAAACGCGCCGGAAAATTACCGCGGCGACCTTTTATGTCGCACAGGGTTCAATTCTCGAGAGAAATGCCAACGTTTTCGACGGATTGGGAAAACTGAAAGGTCAGACCGTCCACCTAAACATTGATCCCAATGCTAATCCTAAAGCTCAACCACAGCGCCGCATCCCTTACCACATCCGAAACAAAGTTAAAGATGCAATCATAACCCTTGAAAAAGACGACATAATCGAACGAGTGCCTGAAGATGAACCAACCCCCTGGGTCTCTCCTATTGTCGCCGTGCCAAAAAAAGACGGAGGTGTGCGTATTTGTGTTGACATGCGACAAGCGAATGAGGCGATCAAAAGGGTCCGACACCCGATACCTACGGTTGATGACGTAAGATTTGAACTGAACGGCGCGAAATATTTCTCGAAATTGGACTTATCCCAGGCGTACCACCAACTCAAACTCGATCCGAAAAGCCGACATATCACCACATTTAGTACACACATCGGGCTATATCGCTATAAACGTTTAAATTATGGGACAAACGCTGCCGCTCAGATTTTCCAATACACGCTTCAGACACAATTACAAGGACTCATCGGAGTCAAGAACATAGCCGACGATATTATCGTTTATGGAAGTACTCGCACGGAACACGATGAAAATCTAGACAAGTGCCTACAACGTCTAACAACCCGAGGATTGACCCTCAACGCCAGTAAATGTAAATTATTGAATCCCACATTGGAATTTTTCGGTCAAATCTTCTCTGCCGATGGCACGCGACCAGACCCTCAACGAGTCGACCTCCAGAATGTGGCCACACCCACCACTGTCCAAGAAGTCCGAAGCCTTCTTGGTATGGCGAACTACAGCAGTCAATACATCCCCAACTTTGCAACAATCACTGCCCCCCTCCGTCTCTTAACGAAAAACGACATACCATTTGTGTGGACCACGGCACATAAAAACGCGTTCGACAACCTGAAAGCCGCTCTAACGTCAGCTCCATGCATGGCGTATTTCGACATCCATAAAGAATCCTTTGTTGCCGTCGACGCGAGCCCTGTCGGGGTATCGGCTATCCTCTCACAAAAATCGTCAAATGTCGCAAATTCCAAAGTCATTGCTTACACCAGTCGTGCCTTATCGCCCGTCGAAACACGTTACTCCCAAACCGACCGAGAAGCCCTCGCTATCGTCTGGGCTGTCGAACATTTCCACATGTTCCTGTTTGGACATCATTTTACGTTGGTAACCGACCACAAACCCCTTGAAATCATTTACGGCACCACCAGGTCGAAACCGTCTGCACGTATAGAACGTTGGGTTCTGCGATTACAACCGTACCACTTTAACGTCATCTACAAACCTGGTGCCACCAACCCCGCTGATTATTTATCACGTCATCCTGCATCACCACGCATGTCACACCCGGATCGCATGGCTGAAGAATATGTCAACTTCATTGAACGACACACTGCCCCCCGCGCCATGCCATCGAAGAAATTGCCACAGCAACACGTGCAGATAAGACAACGCATCTTTGATAAAGACAACGCATCTTTGTAAGTTTGTTCAGGATATACAATACGCAAGGCTCGCTTTTGGATTTTTTCAAGTTTGTCAGATAAATAGCATGAGATAGAGTTGTGCCAAACTTCACAAGAGTATTCAAGGATTGAGCGTATTAACGCAATATACACAGTGAGAAGGTCTGCAGGAGGAATACCACTTCGGCGCAACACCCGGAGGATATGCAATCGTTTGGATGCCTTCGAGACTATTTCATGAATATGTTCATCCCATTTCAGGTTGTTTTGGATCGTGAGTCCCAGTACTTTATGTGAACGCACTGTCTCAATTGGGTGTCCATCGATTAACAGAGGCATTAATTGGGGGGTTTCTCCAAGGAAACTAACACGAAGCTCTTCGCATTTTTTGATATTAAGTTTCATCCAATTATCG